GTGGAATGGTGGGTTTAGTAAATATAATTTTTATCGTTATTATTTTGTTAAGGATTAAATAGATAATATACCAATTAGAATGAATTGTACCAGTCCAAGCTCATCAAGAAACAATTTATTTATATTCTGAATTTGACTGATTTCACAAGTAATAATCAGTTGGTTAAACTTAGCAAACAATTTTAAGATATTCTTAACACTGTTCAAACGAAAGTGTTAATAATCTTTTTTCCCTTTTTTTTTTAATAAAGAGCATTGTATTATAAGAACTACCCAGATTAAATAAAAGGTTTTATTCAACATCCCTACAAGGCTTGTAAATACGATAGGCATTTGAAGAAAACATGAAAAACAACTGAAACATCGTGTTGAAATCCAGGCTAGCCTCATTGGCAGTCATCTTCCTCCAGCAGTGACTGAACATATCGCTTTGTAAAATGGAAGGTGAAAATAATATGGTCTAAATCATGGAGTTATAATTAAGTTTTATAATCTAATGTGCATATAAACCTGAAAACAAATGAAAAAAAAAAATTATTTTAAAAATGGTGATATTTAGAGAAATATATGACTTCAGTGGTAATTTTATAGATAGGTAGATGTGAAATTTAACAAAGTAAAATACAATTAGTTTAATTCTTTCCGCGTTACGAAATCTTTCGATGTAAACTAAGATGGAAAACTCAAAAGATTGCGACCATCTTTTGTATTTATTGTCCAGTGAGTGAAGGTAAAAAGAATTTCAATACATTCTATTGTCTGACCCAACGGTTGAACACGTAGAACAGGGACTGGTGTATAACCTCCTGACCGTGAGTCTCTTGGCAGTCCTTTGTGACTCTCGCTATCTTATCAAAATTTGCTTTTTTTTTCTACCTGCATTTATATACGTTACGAATTAAACAACCACAAGTGACTGTTAAAGGATAAAAAAAAAATGTTTGCTGATTTTAATGTCATCTTAGGGTCTTTTATTTTTGTTGAAATCTGTGAATTTGTTTAGCTCATACCGAGGCTGAAAAAAATATTATAAAATTCACTAATTTTTATCCATAATGTTGAATGTTAAAATTATTCAACTTTTTAACAAAAATCGCAAGTTGATGTTAAAGATTGCCGTAGAATATTGATTTACTTAAGACGGAATAATCTCTGATTACATGACATTGCCGTAGAATATTGATTTACTTAAGACGGAATAATCTCTGATTACATGACATTGCCGTAGAATATTGATTTACTTTAAGACGGAATAATCTCTGATTAATGACATTGCCGTAGAATATTGATTTACTTAAGACGGAATAATCTCTGATTACATGACATTGCCGTAGAATATTGATTTACTTAAGACGGAATAATCTCTGATTACATGACATTGCCGTAGAATATTGATTTACTTAAGACGGAATAATCTCTGATTACATGACATTGCCGTAGAATATTGATTTTTAAGACGGAATAAGACGGAAGAATATTGATTACTTAAGATGATTACATTGCCGTAGAATATTGATTTTTAAGACGGAATGCCGTAGAATTGATTTACTTAAGACGGAATAATTCTGATTACATGACATTGCCGTAGAATATTGATTTACTTTAAGACGGAATAATCTCTGATTACATGACATTGCCGTAGAATATTGATTTACTTAAGACGGAATAATCTCTGATTACATGACATTGCCGTAGAATATTGATTTACTTAAGACGGAATAATCTCTGATTACATGACTCTAATTTGCATTTAAATACACGGCATTTGTTTTAGATTTTTCTTGTTGAATTGTTCACCTGTATTACATTTGATCCATTATTGTACATAAAGAGATTACCATTAATTTTGTATTTTCTATAAATATTACGTTATGAAAATTGTGATGCAGTAGAGTGGAGGTTCGTATCATAGATTGAGGGAGTGTCGTAGCTTCCAGTGGGGAGGTCACGAGACCCTTACACCGGCTCTGATGTGACACTAGGTGTTAACATCCACACCCGGTTTTGCCATCTGTTCATACAAGCACGTCAAGGTATGTGGTTCCCTGCCTTCTATCTCTGTGGCTCTCAATATGCCTTGTGAGGGTTATGTTTTCCCAACCCTCTTTCCTCATTATATGTCCAATGAATTTCGGCTGTTTTTTCCTAATGAAAAGAGCAACAGATGATGGTGAGGTGTGAAAAATTATGATCATCTACCTCCTGAAAGCTATTTAATACCTTGGATAACTTTTATGGGACATAAAACATATTAATCTATGATATAGATCCGATTTTACATTAGATTAAAAAGGGTTTACATTTGAATTAAAAGATAAACATAGCTCCGGTTGATAGTCGAATCAAAAACTAAATGTAGATAGAATTTTAATTCGATTAAAAAATGAAAGATATCGTTCCTTTTTACACTCTAATCAAATACCGTATATGCTAGCATACAAGGCGACTGGGCACATAAGCTCCCCCACACCAATTTTACAAACTAAAATGTAGGTTTCGG